AAAAAGTTCTCTATACTCCCCTTCTTCAGACAACTAGTTAAAAGTTAAAGGTGTTTCCTTCACTCTGTGGATTCTTTTCAGCGGAGTTGGGGCTGTACAGAATGCATGGTCTACGTATTACATCAACAGCAGCTGGCAGAGGGGCATCTCTGTAACATCAGTCCAGAGAATGGGCTCAGCCTGGGATGGTCCAGAAGTTGTTCTGCCTGGATAGCAGCCCTGGCGGGTGGGGACTTCCATGGACATAGTCTTGTGTAAACAAAGTGCCTATCTCATTAGAGTCCAAAGGAGATGCTTATATTTATGCTTCAAGGGAACAGTGATTCAGAGTGTTTCTGTGGGTTTCAGTAGATTGTAATGGATTTCAACGTTGACCTTCTGACATTAATAGGTCACATTTCCAACTCATCTCTGAAGGGGACACACTTTGATTCAATCACTAAAAATGATGTGGAGGACATGTGTCCTGCCGGGGTTTTACCTTTCCTGACCGTAGCTCTCAGGACATCCTGCTGCCATTCTAGTGGTACCCACAGAACTCAGGAGGCTATAGAGCAGGGGACACTGGCTGGAGAGCTCAGGATTGATCACTTTAAAAGCCCCTCTGTCACAGTAAGAATCAGCTGTTGGGTTTGGGGGGAAACAGCTCTGCTGGTCTAGTAGTAAGAAAGTGCTACCAAAAAAAAAAGTGCTGCAATCTCAAAGGTATGCAGTTCGAATCCACTAGCTGCTCTGCAGTAGAAGGGTGGACAGTCTCCTCTTGTTCCATTAACTGTCTCTGAAAACCCACTGGAGGGTCAGCTATGAGTTGGCTCCAACTTGACAGCAAACAACAATGTAGATAGATGGATGGATGGATAGATAGGGAGGTAGGTAGATAGATGATAGATGATAGATAGATAGATAGATAGATAGATAGATAGATAGATAGATAGATAGATGATAGATAGATAGACAGACAGATAGACAGATAGACAGAAAGACGTGTGTGTGTGTGTGTGTGTGTGTGTGTGTGTGTGGCCTCATGGTATGGAGCTATGCTGCCAACCTGAAAGCACACGGTTTGAATGCACCAGCTCCTCTACAGGAGAAAGATAGGATTTACTGTTTCTGAAAATCTCCTAGAAGGTCAGCTATGGGTTGGTTCCAACTTTATGGTACATAACATATGAATATATAAACACACACATATATATCTAACTCACATACACACATATATCTAACTCAAACTCGTTTATCTGACTGATAGATGACACTGCAGTGGGTTTTCAGAAGGCTGTCATTTACACAGCAGGAAATTGCCTATCTTTCTCCCATGGAGCTGCTGGTGAATTAGAGCTGCCAGAGAGGCATTATCTTTTGAGTTAATAGTGCAACTCCCTTCCAGCTGTGTCACTAGAGCTCTCTCTCTCTCTCTCTCTCTCTCTCACACACACACACACACACACCATGATGAAGAGTGAAATCACTAAAAAAAGATTGGATCTTGGGAGAATCCTAGTTGAGATACAGATATCTTAATAGTGTACCATGTATACACAGATAAGTGTATTTAAATTCCTTAACCTGTGTGTTTAACAGTCTAAGACAGAAAGCTTGCCTGCTTTAACCTTTGCTGACATTTGCTAAGAGATGAATTTCACAGTGGCGTATGAGTTCAAAAGTCTATTACTTGGAGCTGGGGAAGTCTAAACGGCTCCTGTAATTAACCCCCAGGAAAGAGTAGGACATGAACCTACATGGACAGAGTTACTCTAGAAAATCACTTGCTGCAGAAGATCAAAGACTACAACTTTCAATATGGATTATATCTCAACATCAAGAAAAAAAATTCTTACTCCTAGACCAATAGGCAAATTGTGATAGATGGAGAAAAGAGTGAAGTTGTCAATGATTTCATTTTACTTGGATGCATGATCAACATCTATGGTAACGGAGGTCAAGAAATTAAAAGATATGTTGCTTTGTGAAAATCTGCTGTGAAGGACCTCTCCAAAGTGCTAAGGAGCAATGGCATCAGTTTAAAGATCAGGTGCACCTGATCCAAACCATAGTGTTTGGTAGACTTTGGTAATTACCTCTTATGCATCTGAAAGTTGGACAATGACTAAGGATGCCAGAAGAAGACTTGATGCCTTTGAGTTGTGGAGAAGAGTGCCCGATATCCCAGAGGTCGCCAAAAGGCCAAAAGACTGACTGTTGTGGAGAAAGTGCAATGAGGGTGTCCCTTAGAGACAATTATTTTGTCTCACCTAGTTTGGGCATATTGTCAATCGGGGCTGGTCTGTGCCAAAGGACATCATGATGAGAAAGGTGGAAGGTCACAGAAAGAGAGGAAGACCTCCCATCAGATGAATTAACACAGTGACTATACCAGGGGAGTTGAGTATATCAGCGGTCATGAGGATGGTGCAGGATAGGGAAGGATTCAGATCTGTGGTTCACATGGTTGCTGTGAGTAGCAGTAGACTTGATAGCACCTAATGACATCAACAACTTTGGGAAAACTTCAGCTTTGGCAACAGGAGACTATTATTTGCATTTTTACTCATCTCACATGAGGCAAAGGACCATCCACCCATTGCAAGAATCCTAAGGAAACTTTTTTCCTTGTTAAGATGTTCCATCTGCACAGAAATTCTTAAGTCAGCACTGGGAAACAAAGAGTCATTGGGGGTTGCTGGTCTTGGTCAACTGATACACAGGGACTTCTGTTTAGAGGGGTTCTTGTCTATGATTAAATCTTCTGTGAACTTTTAATGAACCCCTTTATTTCTCCCACTTCTTTTTTTTTACTTCTTGAAATTCTACAACAGACATACTTTTTTTTCAAGCTATCCCTTCATTTGAATGATCTTGTCCACTCCCAGGGTTCCAATTACCTATATGACATTTTGGCTCCTACAGTCTTATCTTGAGCCTAGATTTTCTTTGAGTTTGAAGGCCGCTAAATTAAGGGCCACTGTACATGTCCATTGCAAAGTTGTTAGTCTTCCCCTATGGTTTTTATGTCGGTTAATGGAACCTCAAATATGCCAAGTTAGAAACTTAGGTGTCAATTATTGATTGTTCCTTCACCCATCATCATACTGTTGGGTAGGTTCTGTTTCATTTACTCATCCATTCACTCAATAAATACATCTTAAACACCTACTATGTGGCGAGAATTGTGTTAGATATCTAATGGTGACCAAAATTAGTCTCTGCCCTTATGGATCTGACAATTTAGCAGGGAAAACAAATAGCGTAATGAAAGAAATATGTAGAATTAGGGACGTAGTCTCGGGGTAAGGAAGACTTTCCAAAAGAAGGGACATTTAAAGAGGAGACGTAAAGGATGGGTTGGATGTTAACCAGGTCAAGAACATGTGCTGCAGAGTTAGGTTTTGAGGCAGCTAGAGCAATGTGTGTGTAATTTCTGAATGAAGTTAAAGGGAAGGCTGCCATGGCTGGAGTGTAACAACGTCTAGTAATAATGAGAGATGAGACTGAAGAGATAGGCAGGAGCCCAATTTTTCAGCTTTGAAAGGACCCTCTCTTAAAAAGAAGATTTTGACAGGTTTTAACTCACAAAGTGGTGGTGGGTTGACAGACTTAATATTTGAAGATCTCCCTGACTACAACAAGGGAAATGGTTGGATGAAGCCTGAGTCAACATGAGGAAATACATAGTCCCCAGTCCAGACTGTCACCATCTCTTTCCTGCTAGCGGAAGACACTTCTAGTGTTGTCCTTTTACAGTGAACCTTCAGTACTGCTGTCTGACTTACCCTTTGACTTCCCTCAGTAGAAGGAAATGGGAGATTCTCCACTGTCCAAAGGAAGTTTTGAGCACTTTAGTCTGGACTACAAATCTCTTCACAACTTGGCTCTCACCTCCCTCTCTAATGTCATATCCAATCTCTTCATCTCTAGCGTGGCTTAGTCTAGAATAGCTGAAGAGCAGTTTAAAAGGAAAGTACCCGTGGAATTAGAAAGATAGGGTTGAAGCTGAGTCTACAAAGGTGCAGCATGTCGGTTTCACCTGTGAGTATGGGAAACTGACAGAAGTTGGAGTTTTAAGCATTTGCCTCGTAAGCAGCTTCAAGCAGTTGACAACAATGGTCAGCAAGCTGTTACACAACATACAGCCAACTCCTAACAACAACCAACATTTGGGAAGCCATTAGGGTTGGGATGAGGCATCTGGAGGATTGGAACAGGACCTGATGTATCATTGCTCTGAGGCAGTGATGGAGGACATTACCCACCCCTGAGACATGGATGTTTAAAGCAAGACCTCTACCACTAGAGAGAACCGGGGTTCTAGAAAAGCCAGAACCCCTACCAGTAAAGATTGAGCACGGCTCTAGCAATTAGAGAACCAAGATGGACAAAAACAAAGACTGACTTGAGGATGAATTGGATGGGAGAAAATGTGGTCTTTTGTACCCTATCTATAGATGATAGATTTTACCTGCCTTGAGCCAGGGTCAACCCTTGCACCTAAGGGATAAATTCAACCTAAAATCAGGGCCAGTGTTAGAAGGGTGTAGAAAAAGGAGCCACATGTCTTCTTTATGGCCAACAGTAAGATTAAAATCAATATCCTACATTTATGTCAATAGACCCACACAGTCACAGATAAGTCTGGTCCTCAGAGCATACATAAATCAGAGACATTAAAAGTTAGCCCAGGAACTCCAAAGAGTGGAAATGGTTTGGGGGACCTGACCAACTTCAAGGGGAGTGAAATCTCCATGTTATTATGGCTCTGAGGGTGGGTCTACAACTCCAGGAAGGTCTCTGGAGACCATGTCTGTTTACAGTTGACATGGCAACCAAAAGATTATGACACACTTGGAGAGCGGTGAGGTCATAGAACCCCAGCTTTAAAGTAGGTGAATCATGTGGGCTTCACTTAATTTTAAAGGAAACTTCTGAGAAGACCTTAGAACAATTTTTTTTCCCTTGAGTGCCATTTCCCAAAGGTACTCACAGAACAATAAAGTGTGCCTGTAATGGCTGCACTGGGTTGTCTTCTGGAGAGCGTTAGAAGGGACATAAAGAAGGTGGACAGAGAACTGAAGCAACTGCGATGCATCGACGAACTGAACTCACGGTGCCTGTGTGACCTGTACATGCACCCGTACTGCTGTTGTGAAATTCACCCCTACCCCTACTGCCTCTGCTACTCAAAGAGACCGCGATCGTGCAGCCTGTGTGACATCTACCCGTATTGCCTGTGTGACTACAAGGTTTACTGTCTTCGACCATCTCTCAGAAGTTTGGAGAAGAAAGCCATTAAAGCCATAGAGGATGAAAAGAGAGAGCTTGCCAAGTAAAAGAACTTCTTTTCAGATTTTTTTTTATAGTTTGTATATTAGCCTTAGAAGGTTGGAATAAGGGGAATGTTTTGACAATACTTGAACAAAGACGAAATGGGTTTAAGATAAAGACTCTAGTGACTTTGCAAAGATTTAAGTAAAAGAAGAGTAAATGGGTCTGTGGTAGGGATTTTAAGATTCTCAAAAGACACAGTAATGATGTCAGTTGGCAAGGTTGGTGGTGGTTTATAGGCAAGATGACAACATGACAAATAACGTGTCTTTAATGAGGGAAAGAAACAGGGGGTGTCATTAAAAAGCTATTGGAAGCAGCGAACTAAACATTTTTTTGGGGGGTTATGAGTAAAGTGAATTGAGTGTATTTGGACTTGCAGAAATGACTACAGGAAAAGTAATAATAATTGATCAAATCCTTAATGTTTGCCAGCGGCTTTAAGAGCTAGGAGAAAATTGAACAATAGAAACATTTCCTAGGTTTTGTAGGAAAACCTCTCTCCTATTTCCCAACTCCAAAGACTTAACATTCTGTGGAGTTACATCTATTATGCTAGCTTCCCCATTCAGCTCTCAGAGGCAGTAAAACTACAGTATTGAGAGTTGCAGCTTCCTAAGTAGACGTGGAAAGATTGTAATGGAATGATGTCATTTAAAAACCATTTGAATATTTTTTCTCATTTTTTTTTATTACATTTTCTTTGTTGCCTAGAAACAGTCTTAATCTTATAACTTTCTACGTACACCATTCAGGCTGTTACCCGAATGTTACCATCTTTTTTTTTTTTTAAATGATGGTTGAAAGCTACGTTCCCTTGGTTAATTAAATTATGGTATATACAAATAATGGAGTGATAGGTAGATGTAAAAATGATTGATGAAACTTTTACATATTGATGTATCATTAAGTGTGAAAAATCTATTTAATACTATTTCTTTTTGAAAGGAGTGATGTATTTAGATGATAGACAAGGATACTCCCTTGACTACAATGTTGGGAACATTTCATTGTAAAGGGCAAAGGGAAATGATTGTCCAGGTCATTAGCCACCAAAGGCCAAAAAGGAATCTCCCTCAATAGACTTGAACTAATTGTACTTATTCCTAAGAAGTATCAAGCTACAAAAAGTGCTGACAATGGGAAGCAGGAATTCTTTCTTTAATATTTCCTCCAGATCAAAGATGACTTGTGATTGTGCCGAGGCCTGCTTTCCATATGTTTTTGAGTACTTGAATACTTTTTGCTTATTTAAAAATCATGAAACAAAAAAAAAAAACAAACCCCACAAAACCCTAACCAAAAAAACCATGCTAACAAAATATATGCAACAAAACATACACCACTCAACAAGTTTCCTATGGCAACAGCTCATTGACAATGGTTACTTGCTTCACAGTATATCATTACTCTCCCTATCTCAGCCCATATGGTTTCGCCACAAACAACTGAGCCTCTCTGCTCCTTGAAACCAGCTCTCATCTCTGTTTTAGGGTACCATTCTCCACTTAATTCTGTACAGAGAATTCTTCAGAAGAGTGTGACCCTCACAGTGAACATTCTTTGTTAAATGGGTTTAATTGTTAGGTAATGATGACTTCATGGGAAAGTTTTAGTTCACAGATTAAAAGTTGGCTCCAGGCAAATAGATTTAAGGGTTTAGAGAGCTGGGCAATGAAAAAGGATGACAGAAGAGTTGATATCTCTGAATTGTGGTGTTGGAGAAGAGTAATGAATATCCCATAGAATGCCAAAAGAACAAACTGATATGTCTTAGAATAATGTTCAGCCAGAGTGCTTCTTAGAGGCAAAGATGATGAGTCTTCTCTCATACTGTGGACATGTTGCTAGGAGAAGTTATTCCTTGGAAAGGGATATCATGATTGGAAAGGTGGAGGCTCAGCAAAAGAGTGGAAGATCGCCAACCAGATGGACTGAACAGTGACAGCTCAGGTGTGTCAGAGATGATGAGGATGGCACAGGATAGGACAGGCTTCAGATCTGTTTTCACAGGGTCACTTGGGTCTTACTCATCTCAAAGGCACCTAATAATAACAATAACAAGTGGTGTCAATGCAGCCAGTTAAGTCTGGTTTCCAGTAAGAATTTGAAGTTCTGTTCAACATTTTTCCTGGAGGCACTGAATACTCTTGAGGCAAGATCTTCCAGCTTTTGGTTTCTGGCTGTGTCCCTATTCCTAGACTCTCCCAGTGAGAATGTCTATTCTTCAGCATCTGTGGCTCTTTCCACCTTCTCCAGGATTAGTAGATTCTCTCAGTGGCTAACTGATCAATTTTAGGTTTAATTCTCAGCATATGGTTGATACAAGTGGAGATGCTTTCTTTGATTTGTGATCTTTTTATCAGGCTTTGCTGTTTTTTATGTTGTACCTGCAGCAGTATATGGAGCTAGTGATGTCTTTATAATGGTAACTGAAGCTTGTAACTAATAACTCTTAAAGCCTCTTTTCAAATGTACAGTCCTTGACAGAAACAGAAGACTCAAAAGGCAAACTTTTATATATTGATGTATCATTTAGTGTGAAAATCTCATTAAGTAATAATGTTAATAATATTATAATATGATATTATAATAATAACATTTCTTTTTTTCTTTGTGTGT